TCTTCAGTTGATATCAGGGCACTTTTTGCCTTTCACTCTTGCTCTCCTCCCAATGGCTTCCCATTCCACCATCAATTTTTGCTTTCCTCACTTTTATTGTATCTTGCTTTCCCCTTCACCTAAGTTATCACATGTCTATTGTTTAGCAAGTGAATTACTCACCCTTTGCTCCTGCTAGAATGTTTCTTTTAGGGTGAAAACCTTTCCTTGACTTTTTACAACAGTGATCTCATGTAATCTTTGCTTCTTTTGTGATTGACTAATTTCACTCTGCATGATGTCCTCCAGGTTCATCCATGTTATGAGGTGCTTTGCCGATTCATTGTCTTTCTTTAACCATTCATAGTATTCCACTTTGTGTTGACTCAGTATTTAAATTGGAGATTATAGAAAACGTTGTCATGAACTTCTGATCCCCTGCAAAATCATTTTATGAATATGTGCATATTTGTTGTTGGGTGTCATCAAGCCAATTCTAACTCATAGAGACCCCATGTGATGGAGAAGAATTGGCCCATAGGTTTTTTTCAGGCTATAATCTTTAGGGGTGCACATTGCTAATTCTGTCACCTATAAAGCTGCTGATGAGAGCAAACAAGAAAAAATTGAAAAACCTCAGTCCTTAGAGTCCAACTCCAAGGATTTAATTTCTGCTTCCTCCACTTACTGGCTCAGTGACCATGAATGAGTTGCCTACCCTCAGCTCCACGTCTGCATCTGTAAATGTTGGTAGCTTGTGCTCTTGAACTGATTCTGACTCACAGAGAAGCCTTGTGTGTCAGAGTAGAACTGTCCTGTAGAGTTTTCTTGACTAATCTTTATGGAAGCAAATCACCACATCTTTTCTTCTGTGGTGCTGCTGGGTGGGTCCAGACTGCATTGGGCTACAGCCAAGTAACCTTTTGGGACCACCCAGAGACCTTCACTATAAGATCCAGCAGCATTACAGTACAACATGTGAGAGCTGGAACTCCATGCAATGCTTGTTTTTCTAAGTCTCGCGAGTTTCCCACCTTTGACGGGGTATAGCCCTACCTCTTTTCTGTTACTCGTTTGACTGGACAAGATGTGAGTTTTCCTCTTTTGACATGTTCCCTACTTCCATAAGTCCCAGCTCTCACAGAATAAGGTAATTCAGACTCAGTTGATAAAGGTCAGCCTTCTCCATTCCTTGGTCCTATTCTGTTTTGAAAAAAGCTAA